AAAAAGGATGGCTACAAATGTGTGTGCTGTCAAATCTATCTCGATGTAACAAGATAAAACATAAAATAAATAGTGGCTATTTCATTCATGCAACCATATTTTTAAACTTTTACTATAGTTTATTACATCAGTATGTTGATATTTAAAATTACTCTATTTTAAATATAAGTTATGAAATATATCCCTCTTTGTAGTCTTATATAAATGGCCACATGCAATTCTTTGATTTCAATAATGAAACAATACATATATCGACCCATACATTGACTTTTTTCAGAGAAAACTTGTTATTCTTGATATAGCTTGACTTCTTAAAACCAAACACCATTTGAATTCAAGTGCAAACTGTGCCTTATATTTTCATTATATTGTAATTCTTTTAAAATGAAATTAACTCTTCCCAGAAAACAATAAAATAAACATTAAAATAATGTGTAAATTTGATTTTAAAAACTTAGTATTTTGTAATACTAGTAATCACAATCCATTTTAGAGTTATTAACAACATTGCCCTGAGGTACGTTAAATGGAATGGAAAACAAAATGACTAGTGAATCAACTGAGGTTAGTTACAATTTCATACTTTCATTCTTCGTCTCAAATTATTCTGAGGATCAGCGCTGGCACCGAGTTTTGTGGGAATAACCTTCCAGGGCCTTCACTACTAGAGACTTCTCCCTACAATGGACTTTCCTGAGACAGTGCCTGTAGACAAGGTTCATTAGGTATCTCCTTCCTCTCTCTCTCATTCCGAGGCCTTCTTCCCGTTACCATTTCCAAATATATGAGGAAGGCACCCCTTAAATGTTTATGGGGTGCAAAATGCTGAGGGGCTAAACCAAAAACAATTTAAAATATTAATAGCTGTGGAGCTTCCTTTATTCTAACCAACACCATGGTGTCTTTCTCCCTTTAACAAAACAGCATATGTTTTTCCTTGTAGGAGTATTATATTATAAGACGTGATGGGGGTGCTGACGGATTTGATTTAATGTCCTCACCTCTTCTATCACCTGATGGCCACACCTGAGCAGCGAGCGTCCCATGAGACAAGGCAAAGAGAACAGAGGTCAGAAATACTGAGGGCAGGAGCCCCTTATCACACCCAGGTGACAAACGTGTGGCAAGGTCCTCCGAGCCCTGCCTATCTGTGTTAGAACCGGAAATCAGGAACCAGATAGCCGTCACAGAAGCATGCATTAGCATGTTTTTCTGAATTGAAAAACTAAGGCAAACTTTTGGGATCGAAACAGCCTGCTTTAGTTGATAAGTGTGACAGTGAATTCTGCTTTCGCTGTTAGATTCCATGGCACACATGTTCTCTAAAATCGCATCTAAATTAAATTTAGAAATTGAAATCTTCTAAACTTTTGAGAAAAACCTATTTAAATATATTGAAAACAGTGTTTTGAAATTTAACATATTTTAACTTACCCAGTCTTAGAGCATCACAATGCTTTACTGTTACAATGAAACTTTCTTAAACAGGTGCACATATATAAATGACCTTTCTGAGACATAGTCACACGTAATTTTAAAACGTAAAATTAATAGTAAGATGAATGTTCTTTCTAATGCTTTGGTTTCTATGTGTTTAGTGTTTCTTTTGAACCACCATGTCGTGACAGTTCAATTAGCTGGATATCTCATAGTGCACTTCTGTGCTTGCAGCCCTGACATATGACCCTAAGAGTCTGAAGAATGTAAGATCAAAATACTGTCCTGTGTATCACAGTAAATTAAAATTTAATAATAAAAATATCAAGTTGAATGTACAGAACATTATTCACAAGATTTACTTCTATAATTCCATTTATGTTGACATATTCAATATCTAAGTAAAAATTAACGGGCAGGTATGATTGTTTTCTAAGAACGCATTTTGTTTTTAGATCTTCCTGGTGATAATAATCACCACAATGCTATTTTTTTCCTGAAGTGGAACACATGTAAAAAGGCTTCACTTGGTCAAAATTTTAACATATGAGAGATAAGAAAATAAATAAATAAATAAAACCTCACTATGTAAACATTTCTACAATTTAAAAAGCCCTCCCATTTATAAGTGATATTTACTTATCTCATTTGATGCTTCAATTCTGAGTTAGTACTATCATTAACTTCATTTTACAAGAAGAACCCTAATTTTAATGGCAAAAGCTATTTCCTTACATCCACAAATCCCGCCCACTCCATCATTATCCTAATCTGCTTCTTATTTCAAGTAGTAGTTCTGCTAATCTAATTATGTTTGTGAATCCCAGACTCATGTAAACATACTGAACTAATTTTATGCGAGATGGAGTTTGGCAGTGTGTTGTCCTGAAAGGGCCTGTGTCTACTCTAGCACATGATGAAAGCAAACGATTAACTTGTCCTCAATATTGCAGACCAACCAAGTGAGACGTGGATGGAGCCTAGCATCCTTATTAAACAATGCCATCATTTTCTCTTCTCTGATTTATGGGATCCCGCCACCCCCACATACACATTAGGAACCTGAGAAAATGATGGGAGGCAGCAGACAGTAGTGGTTAAGATGTAGAACTGTGAAATCACAGGACCTGGATATTAATCCTGGCATTCTAACATACTAGCTCTATGGTATTAAGTAGTCTAAACTTCAGTGTCCCTGCTGGGGATTATAATAGCATCTGCAATAGCATTCTTTCGAGGGTTAAATGAGGTAATCCATTGGAAGCACTTAGCTTAGTGATTAGAATATAATAAGCACAGCCAAAGAGAGTCATTGACTGGTTATCAACTGAGACATTTTAGATATATTTTCCATATTGATCTCAATTTGGGGGCTATTATATTATTAATTAGCATATGTTTCGAATAATTATATGACACCTCATGCTATTTAGTTCTTACTCATAGCAAAACAGAAAAGCTGTTTTAAGGGAGGTGGTTGAAACTTTTGGCATGTTTTGGATATTTTCTAGGACTTCTTTTTATTGCTGTGATACCTATAGACACTTATCATGGCTAATCAAGAAGTACCTGAAGCAACAATTTTTGCTAGATCATCACTATTTTTAAATTATTATATAAGACCAAAAAATAAAATAAAATATTAGAGCTGAAAATGTTTTCTTTAGTCCTGTAATTAGAAACACACATAGATCACTGCTGCCGTTTATCAAGTCAGCCATCCCACCTATCTACCACATATTTTAAATCCCATTTTTTGTAGACTGATGTTTGCTATAAATGCAGCCATCTCACATTAGAATGCTTTTTAGTTAATGCTTTATGTTTTCCAAAACCTACATTATATGCTACATGCCTCATTTGGCAAGAGTTACATTTTGCATTCTTAGAATGAGGCTCTATGCTATACAGATAAATTTATTTTTAAAGAAAAACAAATGCATTTCATTACATAATATTTTCTTGTGTGAAATGTTACAGTATTGTTTAGTAGGAAACAGGTATACACAAACCTCCCCAATAATGAACCTGAGATATTTACTTTTTAAGCTGCATGTTTGTTTTCTCAATAAAATAATTCTATTTTAGTAAAGTCATTGAGACTATCGTGTATATATTTAAGTCTTTGCTTATTGCCTTAGTACTTACCATACTTACCAAAGAAAAATGTAACATCCCTTTCATTACCAATAAATTAAACATACATGAGAGTTCACTATATTTTCTTTCCAAATTTTTAAATTCAATTACTATGCCAACATACAGTATATGCTGTTCAACTGCCAATACTCTAAACCTGCTTACAGATTATCTGTTTAATAAAACTCTAATATAACTTTAATAAATGTAGTTTTGTGCTAAGAACAATATTTTCTTGAAAGAAAACACGCAAATAAAAGAGTAAGTCAATTTCTCATTGACAATTTAATTTCACATTTGCCTTATATCCTTAATTTCATTTTTTATCTATAAAGGTTCTCGAAGTATCAAATATGTCATTTCTACTCATAAAATTTAGACAACTGTTAATTAAATTAATTTTCAACTGATAAACAAATACCTACTTCCCAGAAACTATTTATACTTACATTTTGTGAGCTTTCTTTCAAATTCACTCTTTTTTCTGGACTAGGTTCCCTCTCCCTCCAACATATGGCTTGTTTTTAATCTTTTTTCATGGTATAGATTATATTAGAATAGACTTCATTGTTCAATTAAAATAGGTTGCTTCTAAATCTTCAAACTACATACACATACATATACATGTATACACGTATATACGTACATATATATGAATGGAATGCTCTTTGAGGGAAATTATCTAAATACCTCTGTCCTAGAATACTCTGTCTCTTGAACTTCTGGCCAAAAAGCAAGTGCATGAAGAGGAAGATGGTGTGAAGCTATCATCGGTGATCTGGTCCATGAGGTGCTTTGTCCTGAAATAGATGTTTTTCTACAGCCAATTAAGGTTTGACAAATTACTTGACTATTATCAACCTCTGTTTCTTTATCCTTATAAAGATGGATTTTAAAAAATAAGATTATACATCTACTAACTACTTATGATTTAATTTAGAACTGTATCTGAGATATACAGGATATTCTGAAACGTCCATTGATGTTTCATAGATAGATGAGAGAGAGAGAGAGAGAGAGAGAGAGAGAGAGAGAGAGAGAGAGAGAGAGAGGCAGATAGGATAGTTATGTTATCTAGAATAAAACATTATGAATTTCATAGATTAAGATTATGAAAATTGTAAGTTGAAAAGACATTCATTCACAACCATTTGAGTCTTCCTTAATTCTAGTTCCTTTTGTCAAATAAATAAATAAATAAATAAATAAATAAATAAATAAATAAAACCTGTGAGGCTAATCAGGCTCCATTTCCTATATACATTTCAATGTGCATCTAATAATTTATCATAATTCCCCACTGATCACATATCTTGTGGCTTAAAGATCCATCAGGTTATAGCAAATGGATCACATCACAAATGTCTGCTACACGAGTGAGCAGGGAAGAGCGACACCACCCAATTTCCCCAAAGTACCTGTGGAATTCGCTGTCCTAGGCTCCTCAGATTCAGGTGGACTGTAGTTCCTTTTACCACGAGCAGTTTCCATGCTGTCCTCGAAAGTGACTTTAATTATATTGTGTCTGTAACGGATGATGCCAGGAGAGCTGAGTTGCTGCTGGTGTCTCTCCAACTCAATCATGTTTTAAAAGAACTGGACTCACTGCATATATTTCCCACCACCCTAACTGAGAAAGAATATGGCAAAATTCAAAGTACAAAAGAGAGTTCTAAAAAGTCCATTTACAGATGATTTTCATTAAGTACTAATAAAAAAATGCTTTGTTAAAAAATGGAAATTCCGGGGCAAATGGTGGATGCTGGGACAACAATCATAAACAGGGAAATACCTGACACAAAGAAACACACAGGATTGGCTTTTATATCGTATTCATATTTATATCCTCCAAGTGTTCTTCATCGTCAAATCAGAATTGCATCACAAGTCTCAAAATTATAGCAACTGATATGTAATGTGCACTCTCTGTTGATTCTAACCACATTATAAATAAGGGAAAAAAAATACATTGAGTTGTTTTATGGGGGGAGGGGAACATTGTGTTTTTCCAAGACCCATCCGCTCCAAGGCAAGTTTTTGTCCTTCAATCTTAGTTGTGGAGGACGCAGCTCAGCTCCAAGTCCAGTTGCCACTTTCAATCTAGTTGCCGAGGGGAGCAGGGGAGGGGCGGGACGCGCACAGCCCACCATCCCGTCAGGAGTCCAACTAGCAATCCTGTTGCACACTGAGTTATCTGGCCACCCATCAGCAGCCCGAGGCTGCTCAGCTCAAGGTGCCGTGTTGAAACCAGCAACATTACTGCTAAGAGCACACACTCTCACCGGCTCAGCGGCAGCTCAGCTCCAGCGCAACTCACACGCCCCTGTGGGGATCCAACCGGCAACCCCGTTGCTCAGAGCTCACGTTCTTAACCAACTGAGCCACTCGGTTGGTCCCACATTGTGAGATTTTTTTAAGGAGTGTAAGTAGTAAATGAGAAAATTTTACTTCAATCATCTACATTTTCTTTCTTTTCTTCCCACTATACTTTCTGAAAAAAACTAACTTGTCATAACTTAGTATGTTCAAGTTTATCCTTTTATTTTTCTCGTCCATACTTAGAATAGTAGTAGGGTCTTTTCATCAATTTAGATCACATATGAAAAATAAAATTTTTAAATGACTAGTTAAAACCTCTGATAACTTGAAACACGCGCATACCCCTAATGACCTGAAAACTGAGCAGGAAAAGAACATTTGAAGAAAAGCCATTAACTTGAATTTGGAGCTATGGTACAATAGAAGGAAACTGAACTTTTGGAAAACAAAATTCAAGATGATGTTTTGTTATTAATAACATTATATTTTAAGAAGTGCTCTTGAGGTTCCATTTGATTTTGCCAAATAGAATAAAAACATATGATTATAGTGATGACTGAATATGATAATTAATGGGAATATTTTTTGAAAGGTATTATACGAATGTAAGTATCATCATGATCATCATATGGTTAGTGGTTCCACATACAATTAATATTAGATACAAGACAATGGTGAGTGTTCATTGATATCGATCCTATATGAAGTCCATGCAAATACTAGTTTGCTATTTAAAATAATAAACCTCCTACATGGAAACTCTCTATCATGTTGGCTAATAATATATCCATACCTCAAGTGGAATAGCTCTTCTTTTCTAATACAAGTCTTTATAACAGGGCAAAAAATGGGGTAGATTGCTTTAACCTTAGAAATCGTGTTTCCTTAGAATAATACTAGTCCCCAATATTTCACATTATTCTACCTTATAAGAAATCTTTCCCATTTCTCTCTGTATCACATATATATTTTTTCCTCCCTTAGTTATGTAAATATATAATATAACTTGCTAAATTCAAAACCTCCCCTTAATCTATTATTCTTTCACTGGGTAGGTTTTATTTCTTTCTTCAAGCAGAGTTAACAGTGCCTACTTTCTGCCTGTTTGATAAATAAATTATTAAGGCCAACTTTAAAATACTCAAATTCCTTTTCTCAACCTACTGTCTTTTCACTTTATCTTTGATTTTTTTATCTTCTTCCCCTTCTGTCTTTTATCTTTTTTCCCTAATATATATGAAACTTAGTTCTCAATTCTGTTTTGGTTATTCTATGAATTTCATATTTTATCTCTTTTATGACCCTTATTTATCCTTGACTATTTTTTTCATCTTCTCCAACAAACCGAAACTGCATTTTTATAATATAAGCCTTCGGCAACATTTTGCTAAAGTTTATTTAATATGATACTGTGGACTGACTTCTTCACTTTTTATCATTAATAAATACAATATTTGAGTAATTATTAGTGGTATAATAAAACATTTTAAATGTGAAATACTAAAATGTCAGAAATCCTTACAGAATATGACAAATGTTTATTGTGGACTTTTGTTTTTACCAAATTATGAATCAGATTAAAAACTAACTAGCTCCTATACACAGATTCCTCTAATTGGCCACATATCATTTTTTTTCCATTTTCTTTAAGTAACAAAGACCTGTCTATGACTGTTCTTTATTAGTCAACAAAGATAAATTCATTCCTTTCTCTTTCCCTTTTAGTCACAAACTATATACTAGCTCACAAGATAAAGGACCTTAAAATGTGTGCATATAAATGACAAAACTTATAAAACATCTGACAAGTGAGAACCATTTACAAGCTCAACAATTTTATATGGACAATAAGGATTCGTTTACTCAATACTTACTCTGATCTCTTTTAAACACACCTTCTCATAGAGGAGTAGAATATGAAGGGAAAACTACGTTCCCCATACCTTCTTCTAGTTAAGATTTTAGGGATGACATAGAGTCAGCTATTGGATTCTGCAGAAGGATTAAGCTCCGTGGAGAAGGAGGTACTGTTTTGAAGATGCAGAATATGGAACAGAACGCATGCTGCTGGAGTCAGGGGTTATGGTACTGATGCCTGACCTCAGAGACTGCTTCAAATCGGCAGCCTCCTGTTCCTGGCAGAGGCGATTTGGTTCTATAAACAGCACTTCCTAGTTGTGTGGCTTCCTGACTGTGAGTCAGTAGACCATAACCTTGTTGGTCCAGTTCTGCAGGGTGGCTCAGATGGGCTCCCAGAAGTTCTACCTTCATGGTGGTTTCATAAGTAGCTACAATTCTAAATAGCTAAGGTGGTACAGTTGATAACAACTAGAAGCATTAAATCATTGAGTAATTGATATCAGTAACAGCTATCAGCCATTGATGCTCAAGAAAAAGGGAAGTTAGAATTTGCTCATTAGATTTGCAGTCATTAAAGTGAGGAAAAATTTCAGCCATTAAACCCTGTGTTTAGTTTCTTGGATGTTCATTAATGAGCACCGAAAGTTGAGTAAAATAAGGTGAGGAAGGCAAGCCTTGGTGACCAAATCTTTGCTGCAAAAAAATCATTGGGGTTGTGCAAGGAATGAAAAGACTTTGGGGAGTCTGTGTACTTTAATCGATCCAGAAAATCTTAAAATACAGAAAATGAAGGGCATTTAAATTCTTTTCATTTCTTATCTCATAGCAAAGTCAGAAGATCTAAGGGTTTCTATGACTAACATAAAATGATTATTTTATCTCTTGTAACAATAAGTTTGCTGTACCTGAAAATGAGATTCCAAGTGTCATTTTGTGGGTTGATGAATTATAATATGGGTTCAATTTGACAGATATCTTTAGCGAAAGTTGGAAAATTTATGGAAATAGGTGGGTCCCAAAATTATAATAATGGCACTAGAAAATGTGGATGACTCAAGAGTACTGTGAAATATCAAACCCACACCACAGTGTTCTTGCTGGAAGTAGCTAACCTCCTCTCTAACTGATTAATCACCCAAGATCGTCCTTTGCAAGAGCAAATCAGGTCTTCCCATGCCACCTTCCAGTTCTTCCAGAATTAAATTAGAGACCAGGACTCAGTATAGTACACAGGGCTATTATTAAGTTGTACATTGAATGGAAGTTCCACCCATAAAAGAGATGCAAGATTTTATCATTAATAAGGAGAATAAACAAAAATCTATGTGGGTATGGATTCCGAGGAGTGGAAAACAATTTTGAAGCAGAATAAACTCACTGATATGAGTGCATTTACTAGATATCTCATATAAAAAATGTTACCTTGATTTTTTGAGAGTGTCTCTAATTATCAAAGCAGTGGATGAAATACAGAGTGAATGCTGGCCTAAAATAAATGAGATTGAAAATCCAGAAATCCCTTAATATAAAATGACTACAACTGTCATTCAGTCCCATTTTCATTTAGCCCAGAATGACAAGTGGGTAAGGGACTTCAAGGAGTATATTAAGGGTATCCTCATTAACAGGAAAGAAAAATTACCACTGAAGGTTTGAATCTCAGTGATTTCTGGATATCGGTGAATCATTTTCATGTATCACCAGAGACTTGCATAAATCAATAATAGAAAATGTAGGTAGAAATACTGTGGATAAACATCACAAAATGCATCTAGACTATGAAAATCCTTGTTTCCACATGAATGCTTAATATTTTTATTCCCTATCTTGAAGAAAATCTCAATAATCAGGTGAACGATATGATTTCTTTGATAGAAACCATATTTCTCCAGCCATCTCAATGATTAACCAAGTGGCTCATGCAGTTCACTCTGGTGACAGGAATGAAGACAATGCAGTGTTTCAACATAGATTTCCTCTCTCCTTGGCAACCAGTCCACTGCTACTGCTCGCTACTTGATGTGCTGGCTCTGAAGTCAAATAATGAATGATCCAAATGCTGTGATATCACAAGGAGACCAGACAGTCATCCATTGCCAGGCCAAGTATATCAGACCCCTTCTATTAAGGAGGGCATGGTGATTTCCCCTTGTTCCTTATCTTAATTGGTCTTCCTCACCAACACAATTCCACTGGCAATAACAATTACGGACCTTCTAAATCACTTAACACACCAATGCAATATTCCACACAATAGTGTCCCAAAGAAGGGCTTTATTTTATGTAGAAAATGAGCTTGTGTTCGAAAGATTCACTGGTCACACCACGTGGCACACAAACGTAGAA